AAGGTACCATAACTAAGATGAGATATTTTGGGAAAGGTACCATAACTAAGATGAGATATTTTGGGAAAGGTACCATAACTAAGATGAGATATTTTGGGAAAGGTACCATAACTAAGATGAGATATTTTGGGAAAGCTTCTATAACTAAGATGAGATGTCTTGGGAAAGCTCCCATAACTAAGATGAGATATTTTGGGAAAGCTCCCATAACTAAGATGAGATATTTTAGGAAAGCTTCTATAACTAAAATGAGATATTTTGGGAAAGCTCCCATAACTAAGATGAGATATTTTGGGAAAGCTTCTATAACTAAAATGAGATATTTTGGGAAAGCTCTCATAACTAAGATGAGATATTTTGGGAAATCTACCATAACTAAGATCAGATTTTTTGGGAAAGCTCCCATAACTAAGATGAGATATTTTGGGAAAGGTACCATAACTAAGATTAAATGTCGTAGAGAAGCTGCAAGATTTAAAATAGGAGGTAAATTTAAAGCGAAAGAAATGAGAAAAAGAATACGACTGAGACCAGTCACATGCTTCATTAAAGAGCACAGCGGAAATTATTTAACAATCCAACGAGCCTGTCCTTGTACAGAGACTACCCTGGCACAGATTCTTTCCTGGTACAGAGACGACAGTCCTTTTACAGAGAATGTCCTTGTACAGGGAATGTCCTTGTACAGAGACTACCCTGGTACATATTACTGTCCTGGTACAGAAACTTCCCTGGTACAGAAACTGTCCTGGTACAGAAACTGCCCTGGTACAGAAACTGCCCTGGTACTGAAACTGCCCTGGTACAGAAACTGCCCTGGTACAGAAACTGCCCTGGTACAGTAACTGCTCTGGTACAGAAACTGCCCTGGTACAGAAACTTCCCTGGTACAGAAACTGCCCTGGTACAGAAACTGCCCTGGTACAGAAACTGCCCTGGTTTTGAAACTACGCTGATTCATAACAAACTGTATAACCTTTACTGTTGAATGGCATTTCAATCATCAGACAAACTGTGTAACCTTCACTTCTGAAGAAACTTCTATTAAACACAAACGATATAACCTTCACTTTTAAACAAACTTCAATTCAGCACAAACAGTATCACCTTCACGGTTGTGGAAAAACTGTAATGTGTATAGCCTTCACTGTTAAACTAACGTCTATTCGTTAGAGCAAACTGTTTAAACTTCATTGTTAAACAAACTTCCATTTATCGGCACAAACTGCATAACGTTCTATTCGTCAGAGCAAACTGTTTAAACTTCATTGTTAAACAAACTTCCATTTATCGGCACAAACTGCATAACGTTCTATTCGTCAGAGCAAACTGTTTAAACTTCATTGTTAAACAAACTTCCATTTATCGGCACAAACTGCATAACGTTCTATTCGTCAGAGCAAACTGTTTAAACTTCATTGTTAAACAAACTTCCATTTATCGGCACAAACTGCATAACGTTCTATTCGTCAGAGCAAACTGTTTAAACTTCATTGTTAAACAAACTTCCATTTATCGGCACAAACTGCATAACGTTCACTCCTGAAGAAACGTCTATTCATCAGCACGAACTGTATATATTTCACAGTAGAACAAACTACTATTCAGAAGAAACCGTATAACCTTTACTGTTGAGCAAACTTCCCTTCAGAACAAACTGTATAACCTTTACTGTTAAGCAAACTTTCCTTCAGAACAAACTGTGTAACCTTTACCAGTGAACAACATTATATTCATAGGCACACACTGTATAACCTTCACTGAATCATTTCAATGCAGAACACATTGGGCAAAACACTGGAAAAGATAATAGCGAGAAGACTGGCAAGCCATGTTGAAATACATCAGCTGTTACCCTCCACACTTGGAGGATACAGACAAAACACTGGAAAAGATCAAAGCGAGAAGACTGGCAACCCATGTTGAAATACATCAGCTGCTACCCTCCCACACTTGGAGGATACAGACAAAACACGGAGATATGGCGTAATGCTGCCGTTTTTGCACATGAGACGTTTAAAGGTTTTCAAGCTAGATTTGAAACATGTGCAGTCGCCATAGATCTAGAGGATGCATACAACAAAGTTCCCTTCCACCAACTAATGTGTCAGTTAACTCTTTAAGTCCCAGGGGGTTTAGCATCACAGGCCCAGGGTGTAGTCAAGAAAGTAATAAAATCGGCGCATCATGCTTTCATTGGGCTTCTAGGTAGGAACCTATGAACGTTTGATGCGTTCCTCGGGACTCAAAGAGTTAATTGAACTCAACATCCCCCTACATCTCATTCGATGGATATCTGCCGCACTTTTCCAGAGGAAGGTCGTGCTTCGATGTGGTAGCTGGTCTTCTGAGCCGATAACAATACACCCTGGTTTGCCATAGGGTTCTCTATTGTCTCCTATCCTCTTCAACATTTACACAGTCAAGATCACAGGAGAAAACTGAGTGGCAGAGGAAGAACTCTATCATACGCGGATGACATCCTCGTGTACCGACAGGGCAGGAATAGAGATGACATTGTTTCGGATCTACAACAGAAATTAGATCGCATATCATCCTGGTGCAACAACTCAGGAGCAGCAATTAATCCATCAAAAGCGGCAGTCACCTGGTTCTCATTAAATAATCACTTTTCTAAAACACAAATGCCAATAGTAAAACTCTGTGGCGCTGACGTGGAGAGATCTGATTCCATGAAATACCTGGGTATAACATTTGACAGATGCTTAGCATTAAAAAAACACGTAGACCACATCATAACCAAAGCCAAGAAAGGTCTCTCCGCAACAAAAGTTATGGAAGCTGCAAACTTCGAGCAACGGCTACTTGTAATGTTGTATCGTGCGTTAGTTCTCTCCACTATTGAATATGCCTTGGCCATCATGACCCTCAGCACCACACAGATGAACCGACCGGAAAAAATTGAAAACGAGGCAATGCGCATTATTCTTGGATGCACTAGAGACACCTCCTGTAAATCCATGCGATACCTTTAGGATTTTCCCACAATGGAAAACAGAATCAAGCTATCTAGGGCTGTTGCTTTCCTCAAAGTGAAATCAGACCATCGACACCTACTTTATGAGGTATTATTCAAGCCAAAAAAAAAAAAAAAAACATAGTATACTCAACCGAGGCTAATCCTGGATGGGTCGGGCTGAGGATGCCATCGAACAATTTTGCTGACTTACTAACATTAATTTTGGATATAAATGGATAATTAGGCCTCCCTCTCCAAATATTAATATTACAGTCCATGTCACACTTGATGGAAGCTGTAGAGAGCAGATTCCTGGCATAGTTGACACTTTAGTCAGAACACTGATGGACGAAAACACAGATGAAGGTGATGCTGTAGTTTACACAGATGGGTCCGTAATTAGGGGCAAGCAAAGTGCATGGGCCTTCACAGTAAGCTCAAGGGGGAAAACCATCAAGGAGATGAATGGCGCCCTTGCTGTTACAACTAGTAGCCTTACAATGTAAACTATGGTTGTAACAAGGGCTTTAGCATGGCTTAGTACTCAAAAGTTCACACACGTATTCTTGCTTTCTTAGTGACTCCATGAATATGCATTTAAAAAATCCAATCTGGATTTATCAGGCAAGAATGGATTGAAACACTAAGCACTTCACAAATATCTGCCCTAATCTTCATTTTTGTGCCAGGTCATGCGTATGTTCAAGGGAACGAGCGTGCAGACTATCTTGCTGACACTGCGGTTGCTCAGTTCTCGACAGAAGGGATGCTATCAGTGCTATGCGCTGCACTTACCGTACCGAGGAGCACGCTTCAGGTCATGACTCCATATCCCTGTCTGGACTGATAGACATGGGGGTGCAGCCTGGAGCTTCAAGAAATGAACATTTCACTAAGAGGACAATACGTCTCTTTAACCAACACAGAACAGGCGTCATCAGTCGTTTTACACTTGTGGAGCTTTTGAGGAGGAGATCGGAGCACCTATGGATCTGTCCGGAGTGCTGTAATGATAATCCTTTCTAATCACTAATCACTAACCTTCACTGTTGAAAAAATCTTCCATTCAGCAGCACAGACTGTATAACATTCACTGTATAAGAAACTGCCACTCAACACAACTGTGTAACCTTTACTGCTCAACAAGGTTTCATATGCGCATCAATAAGACAGTACAGCATGTCTAAAACTTGAGTGTCTAGGGTTCGATTCTATACAGCTGCGCTGCATGCTAATGACAGATAAACACTGCTAACGAACACACCCAAGCCAAACACTGGTTGAACACACACACAATCTTTACTATCTAAGGATACGAGCTCCTGCAGCTCTGTGCCCCAGGATTGGTAGTGCTCCTTTCTTAAAAACCAGTCCGCTTCTAACTTTAAAATCGCTAGACGCGCCTCTTCACGTTCATAAAATAAGCTCTGAGCTCCTACCACACTCCCGTCTAGCGCTAACTCAACTCGCTGTCTCTCGAGGTATCACTACCAACAAAGTCTAACTGCTATCCCGAATTTAACTGCTAAATGCGATCTAAATGAAACAATTACTACCGACATCGTAAAGTACTAAACATATTTAGTCAAACACAGGACGGTACGAAGCACAGCTAACGTCTAACGTACATTTCTACGGGTCATTACAACTTGTCAATGAACTAGTACAATCTAACGGTCTCATCAGAACAACGTCCACGTCACACAAGTCTTCTGCCAAGAATCCAGAGTCCTGCGTTTCCCAGACGTTTTGTTGAACTCCCAGAGTTCAGTGGACACTTCGTGAAGCCCGCCGACGTTCAGCAAGCCCCGTTCAGCTAGGACAGATAGCTCCGTGTATCAGCCTGTTTGAACATGCTCTGAGCTTAATAAGGATTCACAATTCCCATCATACCTAATTTATCAGCATCACACTGAACTTCCAGTAACTGGACCGAGCTCTGACAAACAGTTGCTCTTCTAATTTAGATATCTTTGATTAAAGATGGCCAATGAAGTCTCCAATATAGCACTGATTTCAGACAGATGCGGCCCTGGCTGGTGATGCTCTTCGCTTGGTGCAGCAATCCCTCAATTCTCTGCTGGATCCACATAACGATAGACATGGCCTCATAAAGACAGCCCAGCAGTCGGAGTTCTATAGTAACGTGACAGGAGGCGTCCAGTGCTGGACCCAGCCTCCAGTTCCGTGGATCCATGGACCTACAGTCAGAGACGTTTTGTTGAAGGTATTGTGAATGTGTTCGCTTAGGTTCAGTGTCTGGGGGCTGATTTGCACTTCTTTGGTACGTTTTAAATTTTTGAACGATATACAATTCTTTTATACGTTTAAACGTTTCAGATGTTACACGTGTGATTGAAAAAGCTTACACTTGCATACGTTATATATTTTTATAGTATTTTTATCTGTTTCTTATGCCCTTCACTTGTTATATATTTTTCACATATATTTTATGTGGTTCACATATGTTTTGTATATTATACACATGTTTTATATATTATATGCTTATTTAATTTGTTTTATGTCTTATACACGCGTTGTATATGTCATATTCTTGCGTTAAATGTTACACATGTGTCTTAAATGTTAAGCAGGAGTTTGATTTTATGCAGCAAGAAACCATTCTCTTTCTTATTTTTCTTTTTTTCTTCTCTTCTTCTTCTTCTTCTTCTTCTTCTTCTTCTTCTTCTTCTTCTTCTTCTTCTTCTTCTTCTTCTTCTTCTTCTTCTTCTCTTCTTCTTCTTTCTTCTTCTTCTTCTTCTTCTTTCTTCTTCTTCTTCTTCTTCTTCTTCTTCTTTCTTCTTCTTCTTCTTCTTCTTCTTCTTCTTCTTCTTCTTCTTCTTCTTCTTCTTCTTTTTCTTCTTCTTCTTCTTCTTCTTCTTCTTTCTTCTTTTCTTCTTCTTCTTTTTCTTTTTCTTCTTCTTTTCCTTCTTCTTCTTTTCCTTCTTCTTTTCTTCTTCTTCCTTTTCTTCTTCTTCTTCTTCTTCTTCTTCTTCTTCTTCTTCTTCTTCTTCTTCTTCTTCTTCTTCTTCTTCTTCTTCTTCTTCTTCTTCTTCTTCTTCTTTTTCTTCTTCCTCTTCCTCCTCTTCTTCTTCTTCTTCTTAATCTTTTTTTCTTTTTCTTCTTCTTAACCTCTTCTTCTTCTTCTTCTTCTTCTTCTTCTTCTTAATCTTTTTTTCTTTTTCTTCTTCTTAACCTCTTCTTCTTCTTCTTCTTCTTCTTCTTCTTCTTCTTCTTCTTCTTCTTCTTCTTCTTCTTCTTCTTCTTCTTTTTCGTACCCAGCCGCTGAGGCTCATTGCTGCAAATATCACTGGCCTCCACTGGTCAGCCTCTCTGTCATCTGACATTCTCCTCAATATGAGCAAGCCATTTCAGTCTATTAGATCCCATGATGACAGTGATCACTGGTGATTTGAACACATTTTGAATTTCGTTGTTGTTTCTCACTTTCCATTCCCTGCTCTTTGCATCTTTGATGGGTCCAAAGATTCGTCGTAGGACCCACCTACACCCCCCCCCCCCCCACTTTTACACAATTAAATGAGCCTTTATCTCTTTTAGTTGTGCTCCATGTTTTAGTACTATATAAAACAACTGATCTTATGAACGTTTTATATATTTTGATCTTCCTGTTGCCAGAGAGAGATAGAGAGAGAGAGAGAGAGAGAGAGAGAGAGAGAGAGAGAGAGAGAGAGAGAGAGAGAGAGAGAGAGAGAGAGAGAGAGAGAGATTTTGATGTTAGCTAATTTTAAAGGGCATAGTATACTTTTATTTTTCCTGATTGTATTCTGAATTTTGTTTCTTCTCTCAGCCTATTGGAGCAGTTGACGTTTGCACCGAAGTACTTATATGTTTCCGTTCGTTTGATTTTCATATTATTCACTTGTATGTGGTTGGAGTTTATATACTTTCCCTGCTTTGTTATTATCAAGTATTCTGTCTTGTCTTGATTGAGAACTAGTCCCATTTTGTTAGCTGCTTTTTTTTTTAGAGTCAATGTTTTTACATTCTATAGTTCATTTTCTCTATCGATATCAATGTCATCTGCATAACCAAGTATTCTTGTAGTTTCTCATATAGTTAGTTATTTGCGTATCCTTTTACAGGACGTTGCAGAACCAACCCCAACAGTCCCTGACTGGTGTGTGGTTTTTCTAGGCAAATTTACGTCCAGTAGTTTGCTATTGCTTTCTGGATTCTCATATAGTACACTTTTATTTCAATTTCCCTATAATTTTCTCTAGGGCCAAGTTGAAAGGAAGTTGGACCGAGTATCACCTTACGTTAAACCAGCTGTTATGTGTTAAGGGTCTGACTTTCTGCCTATAAATGTTACTATATTGTAAGTGTCTTTAATATATAGTTTGGTCATTCTAATTACCTTTTTTTTGGTATTCCAAAGTCTCTTATAGCATTCCATAAAGGGTTTCTATGTACAATATCATACGCCTGTTTAAAATCCACACAAAAACATTATGTTCATCAGTTCTATATCCAATTTTGCTGTGCAATTTGCCGTAAAATAAATTTTGGATCTATTATTGATCTGTTCTGTCGGAAACCTGCTTGGTAATCTCCCAATATGTCTTTGACGTATGGTTTTAGCCTGGTTAGCAGTACCGACGAAAGTATCTTATAGCTGGTAGATAAAATAGTGATATTCTTGTATAATTTACATATTTAGGCTTCTCTCCTTTTTTACAAATGGGAATCAATAATGACACTTTCGATTCATGGGAGAATTTTTCCGAACTAGTTTTGTTAATTCATATATCTTTAGATGTTATGAATAACCAGCTTCTTGTATAAGTTCATCAGAACTGGTTGCTTTATTGTTTTTAAGCCGTGTTATGACACACAGTACTTCTTCAAAATCAAGACACTTCAATGTTTGGTTCACATGTTGGTACCTCTTCCTTTGTAAGGATTTAGTGAAGTTTCACAATGTAACAGTTCAGAAAAGTATTCCTTTCATCTGTTACGTATTTCTTCACTATTATTTATCATGTTGCCATTGTGATATTTCAAATTATATATGATGTGGTGATGCTCATGTTTTACAGCCTTCAGTTCTTTTAACAAAACGTTCTCGATTCTTTATTCTGATCGTTAGTTTTTATATATATGACAATGTTGTTCGTGTATTCTCGTTTTTGCTGCCTAATTACTTTCGTAGGTTTTTTTAACGTTCTATTCTATATATTTCTATATTCTGTATGTTACTAGTGTCATTTAGCGACATCTGCTTGTCATGTGTTTTTGGTTTTTTTTTTTTTTTTTTTCGGACTAACTTCTTCTTTACATTTTTTTTATTGTATCATTTGTTCTTTCTGTTTATGGAAGACACACCAAAACATTCTTCTGCGGTGGTTTGAATTTTAGTCCTAATATCCATCCAGATTTGGTCAACATCCTTCTCTGAGGGAATTTGTAAATTTCCAATTTTATGTTTTAATTCATCTGCAAATTTTCTCTGATTTGGATGTTTCTGGTCATCTTTGGTAAATTAGTATGCTGTTGTAATTTTAACAATGTTTTTATTAATGGCTATGTCTTTGTAATCTGTTTCAGTCCATGGTCTCTGGGATCACAGGACCGGTTATACTTGACCAGCATGGGGTCAGGACTGGATACAAACTAGACCTGATGCACTTAGAGTATCGCACTCCTCTGAAGAAGGTTGGAACCTGGACACTCAAAGACCGAGTTATTTCTACTTTGCCGCGAACAGTGATCAGCAAAAGTGCACAGAACTTGAATCGGACTAGAGTCGCCACAACGATTTTGGTCAGTTTACATTTCTGTATGGTCAGTTGTGTATTTTAGCAACATATTTTATGTATGGTCAGTTGTGTATTTTAGCAACATTATATGAATGTTTTTTCCAAGTTTCTATTAACAGTCATTGGGATTCTTTTACAGTCGGGAAAAGGGGAGGGGGTGATGGTCTGACAGTTTATCAAATTCGTGAGACGCCAGTTCAGCAGGTTGAAAACCACTGGCCTAGAAGAAGATAGAGGCAAGGAGGCATTAACAACCTAATATTTCAGAGAATACCAGGTAATGGCGTGCACCCTGGCTCGGTTACCGATCGTCTGTTAAACTGTTACGCACACAGCAGACATTGACACAAATGTGACTCAAGAGTTTAGCTGACAATGTTCTAGTTGCAGTCCCAGTTGGTCCTGTAGTTGGGGAGCCACTGCAAAGCTTCATTGTTGTTCTAGTGTTCCCGTAGTTGGGGAGCCAGTTTACAGCTTCATTGTTGTTCTAGAGTGTTTTTGTAGTTGGGGAGCTACTTTACAGCTCCATTGTTGTTCTAGAGTGTTTCTGTAGTTGGGGAGCCGCTTCACAGCTTAATTGTTGTTCTAGAGTGTTCCTGTAGTTGGGGAGCCACTTTACAGCTCTATTGTTGTTGTAGAGTGTTTCTGTAGTTGGGGAGCCGCTTCACAGCTTCATTGTTGTTCTAGAGTGTTCCTGTAGTTAGAGTGCCACTTCAAAGCTGCATTGTTGTTCTGGAGTGTTCCTGTAGTTGGGGAGCAACTTCACAGATTTATTGTTGTAGAGTGTTCGTGTAGCTGTGGAGCCACTTCACAGCTTCATTGTTGTTCTAGAGTGTTCCTGTAGTTGGGGAGCCACTTTACAGCTCCATTGTTGTTCTAGAGAGTTCCTGTAGTTGGGGAGCCGCTTCACAGCTTCATTGTTGTTCTAGAGTTTTCCTGTAGTTAGGGAGCCACTTTACAGCTTCATTGTTGTTCTAGAGTGTTCTTGTGTGTTCAGGTGTGTTCTCGTCAGTCAAAGTGTGTCCTGGTGTGTCCTGATCTTCTTCTTCTTCGCATATCTCTAAACCTAGAATAGACCTATATAAAACAAGCTTAGCGTACTCTGCAGCTCAGCTGTGGAATAATCTTCCACCGGAAATAAAAAATATCAATAACCCCTTTAGATACAATCGGAAACTATTTGATTATCATTTCACTACAGACTATATGCCCCCCTAAAAAGATTATAGTATGTTAAGGCTTTGATGTATTTCTTATTAACGGTTTGGGGGGGGGGGGAGGGGGGGGGGGAACTTGGTGGTGGTTGAAAACTGAAGCTTATTATTGTTAAAACTGAAGATGTGAAGGTTGAAAACTGAAGCTTATTATTGTTAAAACTGAAGATGTCAGTCGAATGCATTCCAATATTTGTAACTAATATTTAATTGGTTTTGATAATGTTTATATTATGCAACCTGTAAGACTTACATTTTTTGAATAGGCTTATTATTATACTCTTTCAAACGTTCAAGTAATGTCAGTATAAATTAGAGCACATTCCAGCATTTGTAATTAAGACTTAGATATTTTTTTTTTCTTTTCTTCTCTTTTTTGTTCTTTTGTTTCTTTTCTATATTTCTCAAATTTTTAATTGTGCATTCCTCTTTTTATTAATTATTATTATTACTATTAACTATGAAATGAGGTAAAAATGAAACATTGTATGAAAGGAGCAGAGTGGAAGGGCAGAATGTTAGACGGGCCTGCGTGCCCAATCCTTAACCCTTTGAAAATAAAGTTTGTTCGTTCGTTCGTTCGTTCGTTCGTTCGTTCGTTCTCTTCCACCTTGTACCTCATCGAAGTATCGGGGGGAGATGTAATGTTCGTTGATGAGCTCTGTCAAGAGCACTATTAAGACTGATGTTCATTTCTATAAGGCTATTCTTAATGCCATCACTCCATATTTTCCGAGGTCTTCCACTCGCTCTATACCCATTGTAACATTTTAGTGTGGCTCTCTGTGGCAGATAGTACCAGGGCATTCTTGTTAGGTGTCCAAACCACTTCATTTGTTGTTCTTTGATGACCTGTAAGGCTGGCTTTATTCCTAGCATTCGTCTGATTTCATGATTTCGTATTCTGTCTTTCCTTGAAACTCCTGCAGCTCTTCTGAGGCATTTCATCTCTGTTATCACACATTTTACGTTCATTGGAGGATGTAAGTGTCCACGTTTGGCATTAATAGCATAGTGTTGGCCAAAAAATAGTTCTGATAAGATTCACTTTAGTACTCCGAGGTATCTGCTTGTGTGTCAACAGGGGAGATAGTTGCTCCATTTCTTGATTACCTTTGGCACATCTGGAGCTAATTTCTCTGTCCAGTAGTGTGTCCTGATATGTCCCAGTATGTCAATAAGTGCCATGGTATTCCTGGTGTGCCCCAGTATGTCAATAAGTGCCATGGTATTCCTGGTGTGTCCCAGTATGTCAATAAGTGCCATGGTATTCCTGGTGTGTCCCAGTATGTCAATAAGTGCCATGGTATTCCTGGTGTGTCCCAGTATGTCAATAAGTGCCATGGTATTCCTGGTGTGCTCCAGTATGTCAATAAGTGCCATGGTATTCCTGGTGTGCCCCAGTATGTCAATAAGTGCCATGGTATTCCTGGTGTGTCACAGTATGTCAATAAGTGCCATGGTATTCCTGGTGTGCCCCAGTATGTCATGGTGTGTCATGATGTGTCCCAGTATGTCATGGAGTGTCTTAGAATGCCCTGGTGTATCCTAATGTGTATTAGTGTATCATGGGGTGTCTTGGTGTGTCCAAGTATGTCATGGTGTGTCCCAGTGTGTCCTAGTGTGGCCTGGTATGCTCTAGTTTCTCCTTTTGTGTCCTAGTGTGTCCTAGTGTATCCGGTTGTGTCATAGTGTATCCTCGTGTGACTTAGTGTTTCCCAATGTGTCGTGGTGTTTCCTAGTGTATCTTGGTGTCCAAGTGTATCCTAGTGTGTCCTAGTGTATCCGGTTGTGTCATAGTGTATCCTCGTGTGACTTAGTGTTTCCCAATGTGTCATGGTGTTTCCTAGTGTATCTTGGTGTCTAAGTGTATCCTGGTGTGTTCTAGTGTATCCAGTTTTTTCCTAGTGTGTCTTGGTGTGTCCTAGTATATCCTAGTGTGACCTAGTGTTTCCTAATGTGTCGTGGTGTTTTCTAGTGTGTCCTAATGTGTCCTGGCGTGTCCTAGTGTTTCTTTGTGTGTCCTAGTGTATCCTGGTGTGTCGGCGTGTATCTTGATATGTCCTAGTGTTTTATGTTGTAACCTGGTGTCTCATAATATATCGTTGTGTATCCTGGTGTGTTATAGTGTATCCTGGTGTGTCAGTATATATTGGTCGGTCTTAGTGTATTCTAGTGTGTCCTGGTGTGTCCTAGTGTATCCTGGTGTATCCTAGTGTAGTGTGTCCTTGTGTGTCCTAGTGTGTCCTAGTGTATCCTAGTGTGTCCTGGTGTGTCCTAGTGTATCCTGGTGTGTCCTAGTGTAGTGTGTCATGGTGTGTCCTAGTGTATTCTGGTGTGTCCTAGTGTGGTGTATCCTGGTGTGTCCTAGTGTATCCTGGTGTGTCCTAGTGTAGTGTGTCCTGGTGTGTCCTAGTGTATCCTGGGGTGTCAGTATATATTAGTGGGTTCTAGTGTATTCTAGTGTGTCCTAGTGTATCTTAGTGTGTCCTAGTGTAGTATATCCTGGTGTGTCCTATTGTAGTGTATCCTAGTGTCTCCTAGTGAATCCTGGTGTATCCTAGTGTGTCCTAGTGTAGGGTATCCTGGTGTGTCCTAGTGTAGTGTATCCTGGTGTGTCCTAGTGTAGTGTATCCTGGTGTGTCCTAGTAAATCCTGGTGTATCCTAGTGTGTCCTTGAGTGTTCTAGAATGTCCTATTGTGTCCTAGAATGTCCTGGTGTGTATAATATCATTGGATAATTTCATTGCACATTTGTAACAATAATACAGCACACAGTCTTCTAGATATTGTAATCCTGATATCATTCTACAGGAGAATCCGTTCGTGATGATGAAGTGCCCAGAAGATGGCAACACCTGCCTGGGAAACGATCGATTTGAGGGCTACTGCATTGATTTGCTTAGGGTAATTTACCTGTAGTCTTGCTTCTGTATTTTATCCTAATGGAGCATTGGTCTGAGAATAATTCATGCTAAGTCGCCAAATCTTTGCTATCACATGCAGCTCACTTTATGGGTTTGTGATTAACTCACGTAATTCCCTTCTCTCATTCGATTAATGGATCACTTGCTCAATTATTTTACCAGCAACGCAGTGACGATTCCTTGCTAATATACCAGCTCAAAGTCCGAACAGTTTTCAATCTCCAAAACTTAAAGACTGTAATCTCCAAGGTTCGCACCTGAAGACAAATACTACTCAAGTACAGTTCGATAGCACACTGTACCTGTACAAAGTCTGCAACAGTTTCCACCAACTGGACAGAACAAAAATACACCCGTGCACTCTTATATCCAGATGACATCTCCCACTCCATCGTGCCAGATCCATCTTTCCAGAAGAAGTCTGCTATCTTGACACTCCTGGAAGTATTTCCCTGATGCCTCACCTGCACCACCTCAACCACCTCACACTGGCCAACACACACATGCCATAGCGTCTCTGTAGAAACTGCACACTTGTCCCAGTCAACTAGTGCGACAGTTATAATGTACCAGTGTTGCTCATCCACTAAACACGGATCAGCACATACCACGTCATGTGACTAATATCTACACTGACAATATTAAGAATCCCACTCTGCTGATACACAGACTTCCACTAGACTGACAATATTAAGAATCCCACTCTGCTGATACACAGACTTCCACTAGACTGACAATATTAAGAATCCCACTATGCTGATACACAGACTTCCACTACACTGACAATATTAAGAATCCCACTATGCTGATACACAGACTTTCACCACACTGACAATATTGAGAATCCCACTCTGCTGATACAC